AACATACTTAGAAGAATAATTTGAATATTTTATTTTAAATAAATTTGATTCTAATAATAATCTTAATTAAAGTTTATAAATACATTTATCAATTTTATGATTTAATCGATTCAGTTAATTGTATTCGTTGAGAGCTTACATTTCTCACAAGAAAACTTATGAATATTAGGAATTATATACTCGGACTAAGGCATTACAATTTAGTTATAGTTAATCTAATTTAGTAATAATCATTCTGATATCGTTGGTTAAAAATTAACTATATTTTGTTATCTTATTGAAAAATATAACGAATTTTTTTTCAAAATTAGAGTGATGAATAAAAGAAAATTTTTTGATTAGAAACATGAAAATCTTATAATCCCTTTGTCAGTATTATTTAATCACATGTACGAGACGATTCATCTTTATAAATTTATCTGAATATAACTCTTGAAGATATAATTAGATTTATTAAATCCAACATTCAACTTGTGATCAGAGCCTTGCATTTCTAATAAGAACTTAATATCATTTTTTAAGAATTAATTATTCTCAAGAAATATAATTAAAAAAATAAATAAATTAGGGTAGTGAAAATATTATCAATTAGATAACATAAAAAATCCTATAATCCCTTTATAGGTTATGTCTTTATTTATATATAGACTCTTAAATAATTTAGAATTTAATCTCATAATGTGCTATTTAATTTAGGCGAAGACTCCAAATCTGTTGGTCGATACCAAACGAACGGAGTCGCGGGCGGCGAGCGCAGTGATGTCGGCGCAGGAGACGACCGGGCCGCAAGCTTGGGTGATAAGCGTCTGGAGCTCGTTGATGGCTTTGAAGGCCGCCGGGCGGAGCGTCAAGTTGGGCGTTGCGTCCTTCTCGTCCGGCCCACTGAACGACCCATCGAGCAGTATCGACCCATCACAGCCCTGCACACAGTTCACTCGCCTCTTAAGAATTCTATCAAACAGTACTCATGCGAGACGCGGGACCTCTCCCTCCTGCTCCTCCTCGACCTGAACGAAGCAGTCGTGGAAGTGGAGGCGCAGCAGGCCGGAGGCGACGCTGATGTCGCTCTGGAACAGCTGCTCGAGGTAGCTCCTGACGATGGACTCCAGGTCGGGGCAGGTGGCCTTGTAGAAGGTGAAGGAGAGGCCCTCCACGAGAGGAGGGTAGACGTAGGCGTGCGAAGACGAGGAGACGAAGGCGATGCAGGAGAGGAGGAAGAGGAGGTTGTAAGCCATCAATGCCGGGGCAGCGAGAGAGATTGTTCCGGGCACAGGTCTCAGGATCGAACCTGCCTTGTTCATTTATAGCCATCGACGGTGAACAACAGTTCGAGACCCGCGTCTTTCTCCGCCATGGAAAGACGTTGTAAGCTCCCATTATCATATTATATTATATTATATTATATATATATATATATATTCTTTTAATATGTATTAAAAAAGCAAAGAAAACAGTCTGATAAATTAAAAACAGATTTATGGCAAAAGTTTTATATAGAATTCATTACATGCAAGTAATGGAAATTAATGAACTCTACAGTGCATGCCATGGCATGTTCAGTTCATACTGTGTGAGACACAAAGGAAGTATTTGGTGATCATTGCATGGTGAGCCAAATCATAATGCCATCAACATCAACTGACACAAACTTTTTGATCGTAAAAGGTGGCTATGAGATCACTTCAAAAAAAAGTGGCTTTGGGTCTTAATTCGATTGATTGGATGGGGTAAAATGATGAAGAAAATAAATTAGGAACGGTTTGATGATCATCCAATATAAATGTTTGGTGAAGAGCTCGTGTTGGACCGAAGGCGAGAGGAGGAACATTGGGAACCAACAAAGAGCAAGTCAACGAGAGAAGTTAGGTGGATGGGGGTGTCGAACACAATTATTGATCGCCCACTGGCTCTTCTCGCCTGCTCGGCAATACCCTATTATTATTCGATAATAAATAATTGATGGAAGGGCATTGGAGGATCATTTGACCCCATCAAGACAAAAAAAGTTAGATGAATTGATATCAAACGACTTATCAAAGTGCATGACAACATTAACCTAATATATTCACTGTTTTAGATACTTTTATCTTGCATAATTATCGCTACAAATTAATTCCCACTTTTTTTTTCCATTACCAAAGACCATTATAAAATGTCTCATATATCCTTTTACAAGGACAACTCCAATATTGCTCTCAATTTCTGGAACCCTCCAAATCCTCTTACCGTCCGTGACACTTATGCATTAGGGGAACTTTTCTCGAGCATGCCCGACACAGTTTCGTATAAGTGCCAGCCAAATCTAATTGTTTGCTATCACTAAGGCTTGCAACAAGTTGTGATTCTAACCATGATTGACTTCACATTTTAGTCAGAATGTGTCTTTACGATTCAGCAAGAACGAATCTGATTTATTCAAACCAATGAATTTAACATCTATCAATTCTGCCGATCCATACCAGAGTAAATCGGCTTGCTCGGCTCGATGAAGTAAATCCAAGATACAAAATTGATGATCTCATAATGCTACGATGGTCAAGACAAAAGGTCGCGATCCGTACTATCCTCGGATTGGATTGTACGAATCACCAGATAAAACACTGCTCATTCGATCAGATTGGAATTATAGAAACAGAGTCTCTACTTGCATGAGTTAAACAAACTATAATGACTCTTGGCAAACTTACGGAACTCAAAATTCTGGCGTCATCTGAGTTGGTGTCATGGCAACTTCAAAAATTGTGATGCCTCCCAGATGAGTTTTGTGTATCCGGAGGAGAACGCATAGGTTGTTTCCTCAGGACTCCTGTCAAATATGTAGCATACGTTAAGAATTTAAACTAAATCTCATATGTTAAAGCCAGCCACAAGAACAAATGAAAGGTTAGAACTCTTACCTGTATGTATGGTTATGAGCAACTCAATCTCTCTGTTCATTGTATCAGCTTCCTGGGCCACACGAGGCATTTCCAATCTCTACTTGAGATCACATCTGCGATTTGGTTTGGCCAGGAATGATTAATAGCCAGTTATCATACTAAAAATGGAAATTCTCAGGCGGATCTGGTATGCTACCAAAGATGAATACATGTGAGAACCGTGATCCTTGTGTTTTTGTTTTTGCTTACAGATCTGCTAGCAAAGTACCAGAGCAAGCATATACACAAAGAGACCATCGAGTACATCATGCTTCACTCATCCAGTTTTGCACTCCATGCAGCAACCAAGGTATGCAGCTTTAGACAGATAAGGGAGACTTACTGCTGGAAGCATACGACTTATCTCCACAATAGTTCCTTAGAAACTACTTCTATAATACACCAATAAACACAGTTTCCAAATGGTTAATGAACATTTCAAGTTCTTGCAGCCAATTAATGAATAAAATCTGTCTTTTTCATATCTTACGTAACTGCTTTGTAACTGGAATATCATATAGACTTACTGTAATGATAACAAATGTTCAGACTGCCTGTCACTGGTCCAACTAGGGTTAGGATGTTTGCCTAAATGTCTAGTGTTGCAAAGCATAAACAGGAACCTAATTTTGTTAAACTTCAGGAACCCTCTAGATTTACAAGTAAACTCTTTCACACCTAGCGGAAATTACAAGTATGTATGATGCGCCCTAACAATGTAAAATTAAGCAAATTTGGCCATCAGTTCACACAACATGACTAATGATGAATACAAGTTAAACACTGCAAGCTACAGAAGCAACTCAGTCCTTTCATTGAATTCCACTGGCATATGCAACAAAGTCCCCGAAGCATCATGTTATTTTTTCCAAGATTGAGAAAGAAATATTAAAGTTACGGTAGTTGCCTACTATCCACACCATGCAATTGGATTAAACAATTTTCAAATAAATATTCTCCATCTTTACTTCGAAATCCTTTTTTTCTAATTAAAGTACAACTCTTTTTTCAATATTTTGAGTCATTACATTGAATTTAAACTTGAGCTATGGAGACAATCCCTGTAAACTAAATATTTTAGATTAAGTAAGACTAAGGCTGAATATATGGGATATAATTTTAATAATTCCAGGAATAGACAGGAGAATATAGTTAAGTTGGATGGACAAGAAGTTCTTTTAAATAAAAGTATTAGGTATCTTGGATCAACTATTCAATAAGATGGAGAGATTGATAAAGATATTATTCAAAGTAAAAACAAGGTGATTAAGATGATGACATGCGTTAGAAGTATAGTGTGATTATTAGATACCTTTTAAATTAAATTTAAAATTTTATAAGACAATTGTGAGACCAACAATACTTTATGAATCCGAGTGTTGGACAATTAAGAAACACCATATACAAAAAGTTTGTGCTATCGAGATGAGAATGTTGAAATAGATGTGTAGAGTTACTAAGTAAGATATGAAAAAAAATACTTTTATACGTGAACAACTAGGCATCACTTCGATAGAGGATAAGATGAGAAAAATCGTTTAAGATAGTATGAGTATGAGCATGAGCTTAGAGACCCCCATATATGATAGTCAAAAGAGATGAAATAATTAATGTAGTGTAGAGGAAGACCTAAAAAGACCTTAATAAAAACTATAAATAAAAATTTAAATACTCTGAACTTAATTAAACATATGATTTTTTACATATCTTAATTATGACAAAAGATCCATGTAGCCAACCCCAAATAGTTGAGACTTACAATTTTGTTGTTGTTGTAGTCATTACTTTGATTTTAAGTAACTATTAAAGAATACTTTACATAGAAGTGCCAACTTATATTACAAAAAGACAAAGATGTATCAAGAAATTATATATCAAAAATGGGATTAGAAGATTCAAGAGGCTTCACCAAATTAGGCAGAAGTTATATAACAGAAAAAAGGAATAGAAAATCCATTAGGCTTCACCAAATCAAACAGATGATTCAACCTAATAATTGGGCATTATCACACAGAAGATATTTTGTAATTTTGTTGCCTTTTGTAACGATCATGCTCATAGTTATGATAACATGTAAATAAGCATTTAAATTTCTAGGTAAACCTTAGATGTCATGAATCACTGTAAACCTAAAGGATATAATTCATGATAGAACTTTAAGCACTTGAAAACCTCTCAGAAAATTTTGCAGACATTGAGCTTACCTATTACTTTATTGGAATACTAATCAGAAATCTTTTTCATCTAACGATCAGATGTTGAGCATCTTCTTCGTTATAGGGTCAGAGAATAGACACAAAAATACAAAATTTGCTAAGAAAGGAAAAAGAAAGTTCTCTGGCTGCAATTTATCCTTAACTAATTGTGTGACTCCTAATCTCGTGACGAAAGCTAGATTTCAGCCAAGAGCAGGACCAAGACATCATGCTAGGTCTTACACTTAACTAACCATGTGACACCTAACCTGATGAAAAAAACTAGATTTAGATCAAGAGCAACAACAAGATATAATTGCTAGTCACAAGCAAACTTTCGAAGGATGAGATATCAAATATCACATAAAACTTCTCAAAGATCAAATGGGCCTCAGTATTCATATGAAATTGAATATGTTCATTTTCTTATACAAATATGGTGCACATGTATCTCACAGAAAAAACCCAATCCAATTACCAAATTGCAAATAAATTGACATAATAGTTAAATTCTGCACGATCTTTCAATTAGTATACTGATCCAAAAGAAAAAAGAATAAGGCGAGAGAGAGAGAGAGAGAGAGAGAGAGAGAGAGAGAGAGAGAGAGAGAGAGAGAGAGAGAC